AAAAAAACATACATATATATATATATATGGTGGAGAGATGGCTCAGCAGTTAAGAACACTGTCTGCTCTTGCAGAGGACCTGGGTTCAGTTCCCAGCACCCACATGGTGGCTAACAACAGTGTCTCTGTAACTCCAGTTCTAGGGGATTTGATACCCTCTTCCGGCTGCCACAGGTATTGCATACACAGATGCACTTCCATATATGCAGTTAAAACATTTATGCACTATAGATCCTTAAATTTACAGACAAGTGTCCCAGTCACCACCCATCAAAGAAGTTTCTTTTTCAACAGAGATTATTACAGAGTTCCACAAGTGGTCACACACAGAAATAGAACAGGAATGAAGAGAACACTAATCACTAATGCATCTTTTAATTCTCATCAATGAAGCTCCCACAAGCAACAGAGGACCAGGAGAACAAAAGGTCACAAATGACCAAAACATAGAGAATAAGAGTCTACAGAGTAGGGCTCCTTGGACAGGACTCCTATATTAAAATCCACCCACCAAAGGCTCTGGGATCATTGCAGAAGAGGGGGCAGAAAACTATAAGAGCCAGGGAGGAGGCGCACAACCATACAGAAATAGAGTCCTAAGGGCTCCTGGGATCTTGCTTATATGAACCTACAGCAATGGTGTCAGTATGCACGAGACCCATGCAAATTCAAGCAGACAAAAATCCAGCACAGAACTGTGGAAATGGACAGCACGCTCCAATCTTCGTCGAAGAATTATTGGCAGTTTATTACTGCTGAGTGGAGAGGAAGAGCTGACCTTCTTAAAGGGAGGGACTCTAGATAGGCTGACTAGACTGCAGTGAATGAACTTCCACTGAGGGACATCTAGGGACACTCACTTGACATGATACACCTCAACACAAATGACAGAATGTATGAATTCCAGTGGGGTCATATTATAGGAGCGGGCCCATTGGGAAGAGGGTATAAAGATGATTAAGATGTTCTGTATGAAATAAAAATTCAATTAAAATTTTTTAAAAATTCATGCACATAAATATTTTTAAATACACATACATATATGTGTATACCTGTACATACACACTTGCCTATCATGAGTTCAATGACCTGGAAGAAATGCTTGAGGATCAGTAATAACAGATCATACCATACCCACCATCCATTCAAAATGAAAAGGGATACTTTAGGTTTCCTCACTAATAAAAAGCAAAGTTTAACTGGGTGTGGTGGCACACGTCTTTAATCCCAGCACTTGGGAGGCAGAAGCAGGCGGATCTCTGTGAGTTCAGGGCCAGTCTGGTCTACATAGTGAGTTCCAGGCCAGCTGGGGCTACAGGGAAACCCTGTCTCAAAAAGACCAAAAACCAAAAACAAACAAACAAAAAAGAAGTTTAAGGAAAGGAAGGAGACTCTCTATACTTTGTTACCTGGATTGGAATGACAGTTTTTTTTTGTTGTTGTGGTTTTTTTTGTCAGAAACGAAGGTGTATTGCTTCCCCACATACTAGAAACCAAAGTATCTATAAGTGCTTTCTGTTTCTGACCCATTTCTTTTCTCATTCCAACATCCCTACTAAAGCAGCCTCCTTGAATGGGAATAGGGTACATGTCAGTAATCTCAGGCAGAGGCAGGAGAATAGTCCTAAATTCAAGGGCTACATATTAAGTCCCAATCAGCTTGGGCTACAAAGACCCTGTCTTCAAACAAACCAAAAAAACACAACACAACACAATAAAGTAATACTCGCCTTGAAGGCAGAGGTGGTAGGACTGTGGGTCTGAAGCCAGACTGGGTTACATGTGAGACTCTCAAAAAAAAAGTGGGGGAGGGCTGGAGAGATGGTTCAATGGTTAAAAGTACTTCCTGTTTTTCCAGAGGATGGGAGTTCACAGTATACACACTGGGCAGCTCACAACTGCTTGTAACTCCATCCTAAAAGGATATGATGCCCTTTTCTGGCCTCTGTGGGCATGCACACCCATGTGGCATTCACACAGACATACATATACATAAATGAAAAAGAAATAAAACTTAAAAAAGAGACTCTCTTGGGGCTGGACAGATGGCTCAGCAGATTAAGAGCACTGACTGTTCTTGCAGAGGACCTGGGTTGGATTCCCAGCACCCACATGGCAGCTACAAACTGTCCTTAATCCAGTTCCAGGGGCATCTGAAGCCCTCTTCTGAACTCCACAGTATTGCACAACATGGGTGCACTCACACACATGCAGGCAAAACACTCATACACAAAGTAAAATTAAAAAAAAAAAAAAAAAGAGAGAGAGAAAGACTCTCCTTTCCTCCTATGTCTAAATTGCTAGTTAACAAACATTTGCCCAAGAGAAGTTGTCATCACTTACCTGCTCCTGAAATTGCTTCTGGGACAAGCAATCAATCAAGTCCACACAGCCTAGAAGACAACCTGATGGATAGTCGTTTGGAAATTCCACATCTGAATAAAAATTAACAGAAAGATTGGATAAATTTCATTTTTTGTGACTTTGGAACTCAGGAATCTGCTTCTTTAAAATTTTTTAAAGATACTATCTTGTGGGGGCTGGAGAGATGGCTCAGCGGTTAAGAGCACTGACTGCTCTTGCAGAGGACCCGGGTTCGGTTCCCAGCACCCACATGGTGGCTACGAATCATCCTTAACTCCAGTTCCAGGGGAATCTGAAGCCCTCTTCTGACCTCCGAGGCTTTGCACGACACGGGTGCACTCACATACATGCAGGCAATACACTCCAATACACTCGTGCACACAAAATTAAAATAATAAATAAAATATTAAAAAATAAATAAATAAAAAGGCCAGGCATGGTGGCGCATGCCTTTAATCCCAGCACTCGGGAGACAAAGGCAGGCAGATCTCTGTGAGTTCAAGGCCTGGTCTACATAGTGAGTTCCATGACAGCTGGGGCTACAGGGAGATCCTGTCTCAAAAAGACAAAAAAAAAAAAAAAAAAAAAAAAAAAAAAAAAGATACTGTCTTGTTATATAGCCCTCATTGGCTGGGAACTTGCTAAGTAAATCAGACTTGCCTCCTGGATTCAACGATCCATCTGTCTGGTAGTGATGGGTTTTAGAAAAAATGAAAAACAGCTATAACTGATGAGAAAAAAAAAAATATGATGAAACAAATAAAATAATGTCAGAACACAATTTTTTTTCCAAAGTCAAAAATCGCAGTTAAATAGCCCTGGCTGCTGTGGAACTCTCTATATAAACCAGGCTGGCCTCAGACTCACAGAGATCTGCCTGCCTCTTCCTCCCAAGTGCTGGGATTCAAGACATACACCACTATGCCCAGCCAGAAATGTGTTTTTAAGTTGTCATGCATTTTTAACTCCTAATGATTGCTTTAGCTTGGTTTCTTAAAAACAATTGGCTTGAGCCGAGGATGGTGGCTCACGACTTTAATCCCAGCACTTGGGAGGCAGAGGCTGGCGGATCTTTGTGAGTTTGAGGTCAGCCTGGTCTACATAGTGAGTTCCAGGACAGCTGGGGCTACAGGGAGACCCTGTCTCAAAAAGACAAAAAAAAAAACAAAACAAAAAAACAATTGGCTCTGGGGCTGGAAAGCTGCTGGCTCAGCAGTTAAGAGTGACTGCTCTTGCAGAGGACCTGGGTTCAATTCCCAGCACCCACATGGTGGCTACAAACCATCCTTAACTTCATTCAGTTCCAGGGGAATCGGAAGCCCTCTTCTGACCTCCGAGGCATTACACGGGTACACTCACATACATGCAGGCAATACACTCATACACACACACACACACACACACACACACACACACACACACAATTGACTCTACAATTATCCTTCTGTTTTTTCCTTCACAACAACTATATGAGCTGGGTAAGAAGGAAACACGGGTACTCAAGGATAAAAGGTTTTTTGTTTTTTTTTTTTAAGACATTTTATTTTTAATTTTGTCTATGTGTCAATATTAGCACTTGAGTGCAAGTGCCCACAGAGGTCAGAGGCATCAGATCTCTGTGAGTTCAAGGCTAGTCTCGTCTCCATAGCAAATGCAGGCCAACTGGGACTACAGGGAGACCCTGTCTCAAAAAAAAGAGACCAAAATTCTCTCCTTTAAGTTCTCTCTCTTAAGCATAGTAGAAGGTGTGAATTGGATCTTGATTTTTAAAAAAGGGAATTTTGTTTAATATTTATTATTTATTTTAAAATATTTTATTTGCCAGGTGTGGTGGTCAGGATGTAATGCACAGAAATTTCCTATTGTGGCTTTTAATGATAACATTGAGTAATATTTATTGAATACTTGCTGAGTGTTAGGAATGCTTTAAATGCTTTTCATGGATTTTATTTATTTTATATGTTTTTATTTCTTACTTTTATATGCATCAGGGTTTTCCTGCATGTGTGTATGTATACCACATGTGTGTCTGGTGCCCAAGGAGGTCAGAAGAGGGAGTAGGGTTCCTTGGAACTGGAGTTACAGATGGCTGTTAGACACCACGTGGGTGCTGGGAATGGAACCCCGGTCCTCTGCAAGATGGCTGTTAACCAATGAGCCATCTCTTTAAGTCCCTATTTTTTAAAAAATTATTTATTCATTTTAAAATTTATTTTAAATATTTTATTATTTTTATTTTATGTTTATGGATGTTTTTGCCTGAATGTATGGAAGTGTACCATGTGTACGCATTGCCCTGTAAAGGACAGAAGAGAGTGTCGGAGACCCTGGAACTGGAGGTATGGAAGATTGTTAGCCACCATGTGGGTGCTAGGAATCAAACCTGGGTCCTCTGGAAAAACAACAAGTATTTTTAACTATTGAACCATCTCTCCAGCCCCTATTTATTTTTATTTTACATGTATGAGTGTTTGCCCACATGTAAGTATACCACATGCATGCCAGAAGAGAGCATCAGATCCTGGAGAACTGGAGTTACACGGTACTTAGCCACATTGTGGGTGTTGAGAATCAAATCTGGGTCCTCTAAAGGAGCAACTCAGTGCTCTTTACTGATGAGCCATCTCTCTAGGCCCCTATTATTTTGTTTTTAATTGTGCATATGTGTGTCTGTGTGTGGGTATGTGCACATGAGTAGAGGTGGCTACAAATGCTAGAGGCATGGGATCCCCTAGGAGCTGAAGTTCCAGCTGGTTGTGAGCTGCCAGATGTGGTTGCTGGGAACCAAACTCAGGTTTTCTGCAAGAGCATCACTTGCTCTTAACCACTGAATCATTCATTTCTCCAGTCACATAAAATTCTTACATGTGGTTTTATTTCCCCCATCTAAAGATCCTAGAGTTTATAGGAATCACTTATTTTACCTTCATAGTAAAATACCTTCAAGATTAGTTGGGTGATTGCTGGTTTTGGAAACTGATATATTTATTTGCGTTTTTGAAGAATTAATGCTTTGAGCAATTTTCCACCCCACAAACTGATAAGCTGGGTGTGGTGGCTCATGTTTCTTATCCTACCTCTTGGGAGGCTTAGGAAGTTCCAGGCCAGCTTCAACTACATAGTGACTTCCAGGACAGCCTGGGCTACATACTGTGTCAAAATACAAACTAATAAACAAATAAAAGAAGGAAGTGACAGATAACCATCAACGATTTCTCTCTAAAAAGTCAGACTGAAAGAAGAATCTACCTTTCCCACGAAGAAGACGGTAGGTAGCCTGGAGTTCTGAGACTTCTTGAGGGGAAGGTTTCTTGCCTGTGGCTGCTATCCAAAGCCGTCCTCTGTGAGGAGTATACCAGGATCTGCCCTCCACCCTTAAACAAATACAAAGTTAGTGAGAAGGATCTAAATTCTAGTTTCCTTGAAAACCCCATGATATAAAACAAATCTTAATCCAATTGGACCAAGAGATCAAAAGAGGATACTTCATCAAGGATTCTTTTGTGAGACATACTTCTCCCACAATACTTTCCCTTGAAGCTGAACCCTGTCCTCTAATTTTTCCTGTCATCAGAAAAACCCAATAAAATCCAACCCAATAAAAAAAAACCCGAGAAAATCCAATAGAAATAAACAAACAAAATCACCAAACCAAACCAAACCAAACAAAAAATCCAAAATAAAGTCCTTACCACCAAGTTTTTATATGTGTATGTCTTTTTTTATTTTATGTGTATGAGTGTATTGCCTGCATGTATGTAAATGCATCTGTGTCATGCAGTACCCACGGAGGACAGAAGAAGGTGTTAGAACCCCTGAAAATGGAGTTACAAATGGTTGTTAGCTGCCATGTGGGTGCTAGGATTCAAACCCAGGTCTTTTGCATCTCTCCAGCCCAAGTATGTGTATGTCTTTCAAAAATAGTATTTATTTATTATTATTATGTAAATGGTATGTGTGTGTGTGTGTCTGTGTGTGAGAGTTAGTGTATGAAGTATGGAGGTTAGAGGTCAAATTTTAGGAGCTGATTCTCTCCTTATTGAACTCAGGTCATTCAAGCTTATGTGGCAAGTGCTTTTAACAGCTGAGCCATCTTTTCTTCTTTTCTTTTTTTCTTTTTTATTATTTTTATTTTATGTGTATGAGTGTATTGCCTGCATGTATGTGAGTACACTCGTGTCGTGCAATGCCTCAGAGGTCAGAAGAGGGCTTCAGATTCCCCTGGAACTGGAGTTAAGGACGGTTCGTGGCCGCCATGTGGGTGCTGGGAATCAAATCCGGGTCCTCTGCAAGAGCAGTCAGTGCTCTTAACCGCTGAGCCATATCTCCAGCCCCTCTTTTCTTCTTTTCTGAGAGAGTGTCTTGCTAATGTACTCCAGGAATGCCTTCAACTCACAATTCACAATCCTCCTGCCTCTGCCTCCTAAGTGCTTTTATTTCAAGTATGTGCCACTATACTTTACCCTGTTTAAAACTGTGTGTACTAAAGAATATTATAAATGATCAGTAGAGAATTTTACTCCATAATTATAAATCAAATTTATATCACTCTAAGATCTTTCACTAAAAAATTAATTTCTATACTTACCTTTTAATCCCTCGGACAAGAAAAGAAGCCCAAGGCTGATGCATAGAGAGGCACCAGCCACCATCAAAACCTTCCTGGAATTCTTGATCCTGGATTCGCAGCTGGTGCTGATATAAACTGAATTCTAGTCCCAATCCTGCTGAATTTGAAGTCCTCTTCTGTGAGACTGTACCTGTGTGGTCAACCCACTATACACACAAAAAAAAAAAAAATATATATATATATATATTTATATATATATATGGTTTTGCCTGACTTGGAGGGGGCGGGTTGTTGAACCGAGGGAAGGTAAACAATACAAAATTAATTACATGAGGAACTTTTTCTTTTGAGTGAAAGTTTCTAGTAACTCAAGCTAGTCCTGAAATCACTATGTAGCTGAGGATGACCTTGAACTCCTGATTCTCCTACTGCCATATCCCAAGTACTAGGATAACAGGCCTGTGTCACTGCCCCTAGCTAGGAACATATTTTTTTTAGTGCGTGTGTATGATGTTCGTATGTTTGTCTAAGCATGCCACAGTGCATGTGTGGAGGTTAGAGGACAACTTTCAGGAGTTGGCTCTCCCCTTCCACCTTGTGGGAACAGAGAATCAAACTCAGGTAGTCAGGCTTGGCAGCAAGCTCCTTTACCCACTTAGCCATTTCACTGGCTCCAGAAACATTATTTTAAAAAGAAAATTTTATCTCATCTTTGTCCAAAATAAGGCCAGAAAAAGTAGAGATGTTATAAATTCAGTAGCTGAGGCTGGAGAGATGGCTCAGCGGGTAAGAACACTGGTTGTTCTTACAGAAGACCCGGGTTCAAATCACAGCACCCTCATGGCAGCTAACAACTGTCCCTGGCTCCAGTCCCAGGGGATCCGACAGCCTCCTCTGACCTCCTTGGGCATTGCACAACACGGGTGCACTTACCTACATGCAGGCAATACACACATACACATAAAATTAAAAAATTAAAAAATTAAGTAGCTATCCCAAACATGGCAACAGTGTCTGATCATTCCTAAAAACTACATTTTATTCATCAATTTAGTGTATATGTATGCATGTATATTCACGGGCAGAGCACATGTGTGGAGATCAGAGGACAACTTGCAAGTGTCAGTTCTCTCCTTCTACTACATGGGTCCCAGGGATCAAACTTGGGTCATCATTTTTGACATCAGGTATTACCTTTATCTGCTGAGCCATCTTACCAGTCCACAATGACCCATCTTAAAGGATAAATACAATATAAAACTCTACATAGGCTTCTCAATTCCAGGAAAAATAAAAACTATAAGCGCAAAGAGCTATAATTATTTCTACTCTATACTTATTAATGATCTATATTGGATTCTGGATAATTTTCCAAGATGGGTTCAACATTTTGGTCTATAATTTTTCATTATCTTACGACAGAGATTCATGTTGGTATCGTAACAAAGCCAAACAGATGCTGTCAGGGGTAGCAATTCTTACTGAATGTATGACATTCTATGACCCTGAATTGAACAAGACAAGGTGAAGCACTGCTGTAAACAAGGTTCCCAGCCTACAAAGGGAAATAGGGAATTACAGGGTACAGATAGTTATAGCAGACTAACAAGTCTTGACAACAGTTTAAAGAAGAATAGCTGTTTCTTCCAGAGCAAGAAGACCAAGTGCTGCAAAGCTCCCCCTGGCCCCAGTGCCAGAGATTGAACCTAGGACATTTTACATACTAGTTAAGCATTCTACCACTGAGCTATACTCCCAGCTCCCCAAACCACATTTATTAAGTACTGCCTCAATATATAAGGTGAAAAGTAATAAAGGAAGATACCCAATGTCAACCTCTAGCCTCCATAGGAATGCACACACATGTGAAGCACACATGTAAGGCCCTACACAAACAAACATACGCATGGACACATACACACACCACACACACACACACACACACACACACACACACAAGTACATTAGACTCCATAAAAATGTTTAAATGATATAAAAAGTGCTAATATTTCAAAAGATAATACAGGTCATACTGTCAGAAACACTTCAATAAAAATTGGAAAAATATTAGGCCAGAGAGAGTAAGGCTGATTGACAGGAAATTGATATCTAAAGCCTATGAAACAGACATACTTGAAAGGAGAGATATTTGGGGCTAAAATTGCTCATTATCATTTAGAGGAGATATCCACTAACCTGGGGAGGGGACTGGTATTGGTATATGTTGGGGTTTACCAGAACTCTCAAAGGCTCTTCAGAAGATCTATCCAATTTTTTCAGTGGTTGGTTCAAGGTTCCATTGGCAATGGCCTGTATTGTCTCATCTAGCCTGTGATACAAAACCAAAAGGATGTGATAATTGGTAATTGTCTATGCTCAGTGCCCATACTTACCAACATATAGCCTTTCAGTAGTATTAAAATTGGAATTCAAAGAGTAGTTGTAGACATGGGCAACCTTCCCTGCTCCCCATTTCACCTTCCTTCTCTTCCTACCAAGAATCCTAAGGAAAATAGGTAGGGCACACTACAGCAATTCATCCGTTTGACAAGATCATGACCAGGTCAAGACTAGACAAGTTGCCTAGAAATGGGCTGACCCAGAGAAGAGCATTCTAAGGCAGCTTATCTACTCAACACAACATACAGTCATTCTTCTGTCTACCAAGGAATGCCCTTTCCACTTCTCCAGGCTAATCTGAATTCTATCCTTGATTCAAGACCCAGAAACTTTTTGTTGTTTTGATTTTTTTTTTTTTTGTCTTTTTTGAGACAGGGTCTCCTTGTAGCCCCAGCTGTCCTGGAACTCACTTTGTAGACCAGGCTGGTCTTGAACTCACAAATATCTGCCTGCCTCTGCCTCCCAAGTGCTGGGATTAAAGGTGTGGGCCACCACATCCAGCTGTTTTGATTTTTTTAATCTCTATATATGTGTGTTTGTGTGAGTATATGCCACGTGTGCACAGGTACCCTTGGAGGCCAGGAGATGAGGAGGGATCCCTTAGAGCTGAAGCTACAGGTAGCTGTGAGCCTCATGACATGGGTGCTGAAATTGAACTTGGGTCCTCTGGAAGAGGAGGAACTGCTCTTAATTGCTAAGCTCTCTCTCCAGCCCTATTTTTTTTAGATTAAAAAGAAATTTTAGGTCAGATGTTATGGCACACGCCTTTAATCCCAGTATTTGGGAGGCAGAGGTAGGTGGATCACTGTAAGTTCCAGGCCAGGTGGGGCTATAGGGAGACCCTGTCCCAAAAATGCAAAAAAAAAATAATAATTTTTTAAAAATTATGTGTATGCATGTGTGCACATGAGTACAGGTGTCTGCAAAGACCAGAAGAGGGCATTGGATCCCCTGGAGATGGGAGTCACAGGTAATTGTGAGTCATACTATGTATGAGAACTGAACTTAGGTCCTCTCCAAAAGCAGTATGTGATCTTAACTGCTGAGCCATTTCTCTAGTCCCAAGACTCAGAAGGTTTTTTGTTTTTTTTTTTAAAAAAAAAAAAGATGGCTGTCTGGGGCTGGAGAGATGGCTCAGCGGTTAAGAACACTGGTTGTTCTTTCAGAAGAACCAGGTTCGAATCCCAGCACCCACATGGCAGCTAACAACTGTCCATAACTCCAGTCCCAGGGGATCTGAAAGCCTCTTCTGACTACCTCGGGCATTGCACAGCATGGGTGCACTGACCTACATGCAGACAACACACGCATACATATAAAATAAAAAATAAAATAAAAAGATGATGGCTGTCTTCAAATATTTTTATTTTTATTATTTTTAAATTTCATTTATTTATTTATTTATCTATCTATTTATTTACTTATTTATTTTGGGTGTTTTTTTGAGACAGGATCTCCCTGTAGCCCCAGCTGACCTGGAACTCACTATGTAGACCAGGCTGGCCTCAAACACACAGAGATCTGCCTGCCTCTGCTTCCCAAGTCCTGGGATTAAAGGCATGTGCCATCATGCTGGGCAAGACTCAGAAGTTTTAAAAAGGCTCCTTGTCCAACACAAAAGTACTTACTTCTAGACTCTACTGCTGAAGGCACTAAATACATGAGTCATTGAACAAAGAAGAAGAAATCGAGCTGGTAGTAACTTAGAAACGTCATCTCTACTGGCTAGCTTTCATAATACTAGAAGGTGCTATGCATGCTACTGGCAGAGAAAGGTAATCCTCAACCTTACCCAGCTGTGAACTCTGCAAGCTATAATAATGACTGGTCTGGCAAAATATGTCCACTGCTGCAATACTGGTACAAATGTTATGAGAAGCTGGGTGTGGTGGCACATGCCTTTGATCCCAGCACTTAGTGCTCAGCCCTAAATGGGACACCTATATCATACCTTCTCCTTCCAAGACTCCAGACTCATGGAAAAGGAAGCAGTAAGATTGAGAGAGATAAATACAAGGAAACAGTGCTGCCTGGACACCACAGAGTAGCTGCACACATGAACTCATAGTACTGGTGACAGCATGCAAAGACCTGTGCAAACCCATGCCAGAATAAAACCCAGCATGGATGAGGTAGGTGGATAAGAAGACAGCCCTAGCAACTGACAGCTGCTAGAAGGAGAGTCAGTTTTCTTTACTACTGTCACAGGTAGGTTGACCAGGCTCCAAGGTGTAGCATTTATTATTATGCCAATATCATAATCACCTGAACAAACAGATTGACTCTTAAAGTTTTCTTTTTTTTTTTTTACTTTTTAAAAATATTTTATTTATTATTTTTATTTTATGAGTATGTGTGTATTGCCTGCATGTAGGTAAGTGCACCCATGTTGTGCAATGCCCACAGAGAACAGAAGAGACTGTCAGATTCCCCTGGAACTCGAGTTACAGACGGTTGTTAGCTGCCATGTGGGTGCTGGGATTTGAACCTGGGTCTTCTGCAAGAACAGTCAGTGTTCTTAACCGCTGAGCCATCTTTCCAGCTCCTAAATTAACTTTTCAAGAGTGGGTCTGGACTCAGAGGACACTAGCTTCCCTAGCTACTACTAAAATGCATTCCCAGCCCTCCATCATTAAGATTTTTATTTTGTGTACATGTATGCGTGGGCATGTGTGTACAATGGCGTGTGCATATGTGTTTAAGTCAGATGACAACTTGTGAGAATCAGTTCTCTCCTTCTACCACATGAACCCCAGGGATCAAACTCACATTGTCAGACTTGGCAGCAGGCACCTTTACATGTTGAGCTACCTCCATCATTACACTTAGTAATATCTTGGTATATATGACCTATGTACATGAATGTGTATGTGAGAGTGTAGGCATGTATGTGCCAAGTTATATAGAGAGAGATCAGAGGACAACCTCAGTGTCAATCCTTGCCTTCTATGTTATAGAGAAAGGTCTCTTTGTTGTGGGCCACTGTGTACACCAGGTTAGCTGGCCTGTGAACTTCCAGGGATTCTCCTCTCTCTGACTCCAATATCGCTGTAGGAACAATGTCATGACACATATGCTACCACAAACTCAGGTCTTTTTGCTTCTGAGCAAGCACTTTACATACTGAACCATATCACCAGTCCCATTATTAGTTTTTAAGTCATCAAAGCAAGAGATCCAATAGAGAGGGAGAAGCTTTCAGTCAGCCTACTCCTTTCCTCAGAGCCTCCTTCCAGAGGCTTCCACTGACCTGCTGTGATACTCTGCCAGTGGGTTTTGGTCTTCCAGGATCTTCCGGCCTGCAAAATCAATGGTGACTTTCTTAGAAAGTCGAGAGGCATGTCGAAGTTCTCTCAGTTCCTCTTCTCGTTTCTGCAGAGTTTCCCGCTCAACTTTGGACAGCCACTGGTTAGAATCACTAGCAAAGTAATCTGACTCATCATCAATGACTTGGGTCCTCCGAATGCTAAGGAAAAAACAAACAATATAGCAATTAGGTCATACGTTGAGAAATATGGGCTAATTGCTGGGGAATGATTCAAAGTATGTTTTATGTTGTGGAGGTTACAGTCTCAACTGTAGAAGGCCAAAAATGTTCTAAAATCGCATCAAGCTCTGCCTCACTTGCAGCTACAGCATACATCTTATCTCTACTGCAAGGCCCACTTCTGCTCCTAGAACTCATTGCTACCTTAGGAAGGGAAAGACTTGCTACCATAATTCATTGTCATTCTTTCCTTCTGACAAGTCCAGTCTTCCATCTTCCCTCACTTCTCAATGCTGAGGGTCATACCCAATATGACCAATTAGGTTTTAGTTTGGTTTTGCTGTATCTGAGTTTATGCCCTGGTAACTTTCAATATCCTAGCCCTTTTACAATTGAATGGAGTCCAGTTTATTACTGATAGGCTCATCTGCTGGCTGGTGTAGGTCCTGAAATCTCAGTCCTGTGGCTCTTCTATTACTGTTCTACTTTATCAGTTTCTACATCCCTCCTCCCCAATCTCCGGTTCTGCACTAAAATGCTGTGCCAAGTCCTAAGATCATAATGACAAGGAAATTGAAGGCTAGAAGGAAATCTGATAATTTAATGCTCTTATTCAGCAGAATAAGATCACAGAAGTGATTACCCCAAAGTCACAAACCTAGCTAAGATTCAACTTCTTCATAATTATAAATTAGTGACATATATAGGCATAAAGAAAATATTTAAATTACATTCATATTTTGATACCTTATTTCAGAGCCCACATGAAAGTATAAAAATTTTTGTCTTAAAAATGGATTGAAGGAGCTGGAGATATGGCTCAGCCGTTAAAAGCACTGGCTGCTCTTGCAGAGGACCTGGATTTGAGTCTCAGCATCCACATTGTGACTAATAATCATCTATAACTCAGTTCCAGGGGAAGTCAATGCCCTCTTCTGAATTCTGTGGGCACTGCACAACATGGGTACACTCACATACATGCAGGCAATACATTCATACACATTAAAAAAAACATACAAACTGATTTAACTGGTGTGGTGGCACACACCTTTAAGCCCAGCACTTTGGAGGCAGAACCAGCTGTGAAATCAAGGCCAAACACCTCCAAAACCAAAATAAAACAAAAAACCAAATTTAGAAGAGGCTGGAGAGGTAGCTCAGCAATTAAAAGCACTGGCTGGTCTTCTAGAATACCTAGGTTTGATTCCCAGCACCCACATGGCATCTAACAACTATCTGCAACTCTACTTCCTGGGGATCCAACGCCATCTTCTGGCCTCTATGGGCAACACTCATACACATTAAATTAATTTAAAAAATTTAAATCTGTCTAAAACAGATTTAGAGAGCTCGAAAGATGATTCCGTAACTAAAATTGTTTGTTATACAAGCAGGAAAACCAGAATTTGGACCCCAGCACCCACATAACAAGCCAGGCTTGGTCTAGCATATTTTTGTAACCTGAGCACTAACGGGTGAAGACAGGGGTACTGCTGGGGTTTGCTGGCTGTCAACCTAGCAAGCTCCAGGTTCAATGAGAGACTCTGCCTCAAAGAAATAAGGCATAGTGATAGGGAAGGAAATCAGTGTCTTTCTCTGGCCCTTATATTGCACACATAAGCTTGCACACCTGCACATAAATGCTCACACCACACACACACACACACGCACACACACACACGCACACACACACACAATAAAAATAACCACAACAGATTCAGAGTGGGAAGTTTAAAAGAACTCAGGAGGAAATGGTAGTATACCAGCAGGCTAAGCTTGAGACCTTGCATTGCGTTGATGATATTTGTGTGTTTTTAAAAAATGTTTTGATTTTATGTGTATGAGTGCATTGCCTGAATGTATGTAAGCATACCACTGTGTCCTGCAGTATCAGCAGAGGTCAGAAGAGGGTGTGCTGGGAATCTAACCTGAGTCCTCTGTAAGAGCACTCAGTGCTCTTAACCACTGAGCCATCTCTTCAGCCCCCCGATTTGTGCTTCTGAACATACTAGCAATGTGACAATATCAATAGAGAGAGACTTCCTTTCAGGTTTTATTTATTAAGAAATACACTTGAGGGCTGGAGAGATGGTGCAGTGGTTAAGAACACTGGTTGTTCTTGCAGAACACCCGGGTCAAATCCCAGCACCCACATGGCAGCTAACTGCCTGTAACTCCAGGTCCAGGGGAATCCAAAGCCCTCTTCTGACCTCCATGGCATTGCACAACACAGGTGCACTCACATACATACAGGCAATACACACATACACATAAAATAAAAATAATAAATAAAATATTTTTAAAAAATAAAGAAATACACTTGAGCCAGGCACACTGGTGCACACCTTTAGTCCCAGCACTTGGGAGGCAGAGGCAGGTGGATCTCTGTGAGTTCAAGGCCAGGCTGTCTACATAGTGAGTTCCAGGGGGCTGCAGGAGGCGGATCTCTCTGACTTCAAGGCCAGCCTGGTCTCTATGGTGAGTTCAGGTCAGCTGGGACTACAGGGAGACCCTGTCTCAAAAAGACAAAAAAAAAAAAAATACACTTCAGACACTTGAGGAGCTGAGATGGTTCAATGGTTAGGAGCACTGGCTGCTCTTCAGAGGCCCCAGGTTCAATTTCAAGCATCCAAATGGCAGCTAACAACCACCCATATCTTCAGTTCTAGGTGATCTGATACCCTCTTCTGACTTCCTCAGGCACTGCACAACACAGGTATACTTCTACACATGAAGGCAATACACTCATGCATAAAATAAATATAATATTTAAAAAAATACATTTGATTTTTTATTCTATTTTAAAAAATTATTTATTTATATTATGTATATGAGTGTTTTGCCTGCATGTAAGTGTACCACTTACATGCAAAGCTTGCAAAGGCCAGAGGTGGCATTCCATATGTTGGAACTGGAGTTACAGATGGTTGTTAGCTGCCATGTGGGTGCTGGAAAGAGAATCATGGTCCTCTCCAAGAGTAGCTAATGCTCTTAACCACTGAACCATCTCTCCAGTCCCTCTTATTCTATTTTTTAAAATATTTTATTTATGGTTTTTATTTTATGAGTGAATTGGCTGCACATATGTAAATGTACTCATGTCATGCAATGCCTGTGGAGATCAGAAGAGGGCATGGGATTCCCTGAACTGGAGCTATAGATGGTTGTTAGCTGCCATGTGGGTGTTTGGGAACTGAATCCAGGTCCTCTGCAAGAGCAGCCAGTGCTCTTAACCATGAGGCATCTCTCCAGCCCTACATTTATTCTACTTTTTTTTTTTTTAGCTCAAGCTAACCTGGAACTCACTATGTAGACCAAGCTGGCCTTGAACTCACAGAGATCTGCCTGCCTCTGCCTCCTGAGTCTTGGGATTAAAAGTGTGTGCCACCATGCCTGGCTTCTTATTCTACTTTTAATGGTAAGTTTTACTTGAGTTAACATGAGCAGGTCATGGTGGTATATGACAGAAATTCCAGTACTCAATAGGTTGAGACCAGAGTATCACAAGTTAAAGATGAGCCTGACCAAAAGTAAGTATGAGGTATACACCGTGTGTTAGGCTTTCCTAAGGAGCAGCTTTATAAATTATACTTCATGTAGTCATAGTAAATGGTTTGGAAGTAGGACAGGTGTCTCATTAAAGATTAGGGATAGGCTTCAGGGTCAGTTAAAATAAGAAATCTAGTGTCTCTTTATCATGTATCGGTTTTCTATGAAGAACTTTGTCAGAAAAAAAAAGAGAAAGAAATAAAAAATAGAACAAATCATAAATCTATTTCTTTTGTTGCTGTTTGTTTTTAGACAGGGTCTCCCCTATAACTCCAGCTGACTGGAACCTGCTATGTAGGCCAGGCTGGCCTGAATCTCACGAAATCCACCTGCCTTTTCCTCCTGAGTGCTCGGATTAAAGGCATGTGCTGCTATGACTAGCCTTTTATTTTTTTTTAATTTAATTTATTTTTATTTTATGTGTATGAGTGTTCTGCCTGCATGTATGTAAGTCACCAGTGTGTGCAATGCCCAAGGAAGCCAGAAGAGGACATTGGATCCCTGGAACTGGAGTTATGGACAGTTGTTAGCTGCCACGTGAGTACTGGGAACTGAACCTGGGTTCTTTACAAGAGCAGTCAATGTTCCAAACAAGACATCTCTCCAGCCCCAACCTATATTTTTTAACCATTATTTGATATATTTTTATTTTTTGGTGCTGAGTATTGAACCTGGGACCTTACACAAGTTAACTATATGCTGTACACTGAGCTATACCTTAACCCCTATCATTATTACAGAATGTGTCACTTCTACTTACAAAAAGTTTACTGTAATTACTATGTTGTGTTATGTTCACAGTTGCTTAACATGTTTAATGCTCTCTTCTGTCTGTCTCTTTCAGACAGGGTCTTACTCCGTAGCCCAGGCTGGCGTCAAACTCATGGCTATCCATCTACCTCAGCTTCCCAAGTAGGCTTATAGATGTGATCCACTATGCCCAGATTACACTCTTTTTTGATGTTCTCTTGTGCTTGATTTGATCTTCTATTTTGTTCCTCACAGCACTAGACACAATAATTTATGCCATGTACGCCACATACCTAAATGTGGAGCAGGGTATACCACTAGATTTGTGTAAATACACTCTATGGTGTTCAAACAATGAAAAACAACATTTCTTAGACTGCATCCTCATCTTTAAGCAACGCATGACTGTGTATGTGGACTAGATGAATAAGTAGCTGCAAGTGAAGCATATAGAAATGATGTCAACCTGAGTCAAGTGTCCAGGGTATACTGGCATTTGCTACAAATAAAGCAACTACAGGGTAAGATTTTCCTGGTAAGGGATTATCTGATTCAAATATGGATCCCAAACCAAGATGCGGACCTCCTAAACAGAACATTCGACTCTTCTTTTGTACAAATCCATTCATACTCCACCTTGAGAAGGTGTCAGGTGCCAAAATATCACTTTCATGGTGGGAATGTGGATTAGTTTATGTCTTAGCACTTATTATTCTAATTCTTCCATACCTAGTTCTGTCAAATTCTAACAGTTTGTCTTTATGCTTGATAGCCTTCTCCAAACCAGACTTAATTCGAGATTCTTGATGAGGAAGAAGGTCCTTAGTATAGATGTCCACCTTTCCAGAATTCTCCGCCCCTGAAATTCAATAAGGAAATCAAATGGTATCAGCCTATAGTATAAATTAGCTCCATGACTGTGCAGTAATGAACAAAATATGTGAGAATCTGACTCCGGCTTGATGATCTGAAGTCTCTGTTTAAATATTCAAATGGAAAACAAGAAAGGACAAAGGTTAGGCCTAACCTATAAAGCACCAAGTAGTATTTGACATATAATAGGTTTCCAAAATGTGATAGGGTATTTTTCTTCCATTCTTTTTAATATTTTACTTATTATTTTTACGTGTATGCATGTATTGCCTGCATGTAGGTAAGTGTACCCATGTTGTGCAATGCCCACAGAGGCAATGCCCAAGAGGCTGTTTGATCACCTGGAACTGGAGTTATGGACAGTTGTTAGCTGTCATGTGGGTGCTGGGATTTGAACCCAGGTCCTTTGCAAGAACATTCAGCGTTCTTAACCACTGAGCCATCCCTCCAGCCCTCTCTTTCTCTCTCTCTCTCTCTCTCTCTCTCTCCCTCCCTCTCTCTCTCTCTTTTTGGGTTGTTTGTATCTTTTTATTTTGAGACAGAGTCTCTCTATAGCCCTAGATGGCCTAGAATTCATTATGTAGACCAGGCTATCCTTGATCTCACAGAGATCTGTCTGCCTCTGCCTTCTGAATGCTTGGATTAAAGGCCTGTACCACCACTCCCATGGTTCCTTTTTTTTCTTTACAGAAATTTGGATCATGAAGGGTACCAAACCACTTAGCACAATATAATACAATGTGAAAATATCTTATAGGACTGGGGATATATCTCAGTGGTAGAGTGCTTGCCTAGTAAGGCTCTAGGTTTAATTGTTTAATTCTCACACAGTCTCTTTCAAAGACCAAAACAAATACTTTACTGAGGAAAGCCATCACCTGTAAATATACTTTTACGTATCAAAACCAAAAACTAAATAATAGAACAATTTTAGGAAAGATACAAAATTAAACAGTTAAATGATAAAGCACTTAATAAGAATAATATTTAACTATCACAATATCCCAATAAAATGGATTGCATTACCATTGTTATAGAAAAGGAAACCAAAGTTCAAAGATGAAAATAAATTTACTATGCCAGGCATGGTAGCACACACCTTTAATCTCAGTGCTCAGGAGACAGAGGCAGACGGATCTCTGTGAGTTCAAGGCTAACCTGGTCTACATAGCAAGTTCCAGGCTAGCTGGGGCTGCAGGGAGACCCTGTCTCAAAAAGAAAAGAAAAAAAAAATTTATTGAGTTCACTTAGATTTTAGAAGGTAGATCCTGGCATGATATACTTGCCTATTTGGGAAGCTCACACAGGGGGATCACCACAGCCCAGTAATTAAAGATCAACCTGTACAATATAGTCTCAGACAAAAAAAAGTTAAACCAGGTATGATGAATGGAGGCCTTTAATCCCAGCACTCAGGAGGCAGAAGCAGGCATATCTCATGAGTTTGAGGTCAAGGCCTGCCTGGTCTGCAGAGTGAGTTAGAGAGTTCCAGGCTAGCTACATAGTGAGACCCTGTCTCAAAAAAGAAAAAGAAAAAAAAGATGGCGCACGCCTTTAATCCCAGCATTCGGGAGGCAGAGGCAGGCAGATCTCTGTGAGTTTAAGGCCAGCCTGGTCTACATAGTGAGTTCCAGGACAGCTGGAGCTACAGGAAGACCCTGTCTCAAAAAGACAAAAAAAAAAAAAAAAAAAAAAAAAAAAAAGAAGAAGAAAGAAAAAGAAGAGGATTGCTTAGAGTTCAAGGCCACCCTTGGCTACACAGAGTACAAGGCCAAGCCAGAGCTATAAAAAAGTACATAAATAAATAGATACATAGAAGCATAGATATCTTCTTTGATTCATTTACCCCATTCTTGAAAATGTGTCCCAATAAGGGCTGGAGAGATGACTCAGCGGTTAAGAGTACTTGCAGAGAACTAAGAGTTTGGTTCCCAGCACCCACAGAGACGCTCATAATTCAACTCCAGATCCACAAGCCAGAGCTATAAAAAAGTACATAAATAAATAGATACATAGAAGCATAGATATCTTCTTTGATTCATTTACCCCATTCTTGAAAATGTGTCCCAATAAGGGCTGGAGAGATGACTCAGCGGTTAAGAGTACTTGCAGAGAACTAAGAGTTTGGTTCCCAGCACCCACAGAGACGCTCATAATTCAACTCCAGATCCAAGGGGTCCAGAGTCCCTGTTCTGGCTTCTTTGGGGACATATGGTAGCCAGCCACACACGTGGTGCACTTGGATAACTACAGGAAAAACACTCATACATACAAAACAAATTTTTTTTTTAGAAGAAAGTATGAATGTGGGGCTGGAGAGATGGTTCAATGGTTAAGAACACTCGCTATTCTTCAAGAGGACATGGGTTCAATTCCCAGTACCAACATGGCAGCTAACAACCATCTGTAATGCCAGTTCTAGGGGATCCAACACGGTCTTCTGACCTCCATGAGTATTGCACACGTATGATGCACTTACATACATGCAAGCAAAACACACATAAAATAAAAATAATGTTTTTAAAAATAGAAAAGTATGAATGTGAACATATGAGTTATTATGTATGTCTGCTGGGGCAGAGAGAAGAGCCGGGTGACAGCAGCACTGTGCTCACCAAGCTGAGGTATCTTCATGCACAAGTTTTTGGTTTCCCTTTCTTTTCCTAGACAGTGCTGAGTAGGCCATGCCACAGCCTGAGGAGCCCCGGTGGCTCTATGTCACAGCAGGGTACACTGGCCTGAGAAGGGAGACTTATGCAAGTATTACCCATTCTCTACCACAGGGAATAACCTGTTCTAGCTAGATGCCTGTCTGCATGCCAAGAGCAGACAGATCTCTTAGAATCTTCTCATCCCTGGAGCTCAGCCTCAGGCAGCCTCCTGCCTGTGTCCTCAGATGGGGACTCTGAGGGTAGAAAGACTGCCTGCCCTACCCTGTCACCTGGGGTAGGGGCAAAAGGAACCAGGGCAGTTTCAGAATCTCAGAGTTTGGTTACAAACCTTCCCACCCAGGGGAGACAGGGACAGTGCACTGACCTTTCTGGTCTTTGGATTCTTTCCCTTTCCCCAGATAGCTTACTTACTATCCCTCTGAATGCCCCTCACTACCCTCAAGCCAACAGCAGGCTCCTAGCCAGAAAATGCAAGAGCTGGGTGCCAGAAGATGCCCAGCATCAAGGCTCTAGCCCAAGGGTTTGGGGGAGCTTTCCCTGCAGACATAGTCCTGAAAGCCATGTGGCAGACAGTTGGCCAGAAGGGCACTATCCCTGCCCCTTCCTATCTAACCAGAAAAAAAAATATATGATAGCATATGGTAGACTAGGCTGTGAATAAATACTTCAGACATCATCTCACACCAAGTATCTATACATGTGGTTATTTTCTATCATATGTATTTGTGAATGTTTATATTTCAACAAACCTCTCCCCTACACACACACACACACACACACACACACACACACACACACACACCATGGTTAAAAAAAAGAACTAAAACTAAATCAAAATATATGTTGATGAAGGTGACCATTTATAGTGTTCTTTATAATTTGGAGTTAAAATATCCAGTAATTGGGAAATGGAAAAACAAATTATTTACAAAATATAGTTACTAGGGGGTTGGAGAAATGGCTTAGTGGTTAAAAGCACTGGCTGCTCTTGAAAGAGAACCAGGGTTCAGTTCCCAGCACCCACATAGTGGCTGACAACCCTGTAACTCCAATTCTTGGGGATCCAATGCCCTCTTCTGGCCTCTGTGGGCATTGCATGCACAGGTGCACTTACACACATACAGGGAAAACACTCATACACGTGAACATGTCTCCCTACTTCCTCTCAAATTCATGACCCCTTCTTTCTTCATATATATATATATATATATATATATATATATATATACATATATCTTTTTGAGAAAGGGTCTCCCTGTAGTCCCAGCTGTCCTGGAACTTGCTATATAGACCAGGCTGGCCTCAAACTCACAAATATCCCCCTGCCTCTGCCTCCTGAGTGCTGGGATTAAAGGCATGCTCCACAACGCCCAGCTAAGAAAGAAAAAATTTTATTTATGTGTGTATGTACATGCTATTTATTTATGTGTGTATGTGCCCATGCATGGGTTGTGCCTGGAGACCAGGAAATGGTGTTGGATCAGGTAATTGCAGATTATATGGGTGCTGGGATCCAAACTCCAGTCCTGATGATTGAGGAGCTGATTGAGTAATAAGTGCTATTAACTTTTTAGTGATCTTTCAAGCTCTAATAGACCTTTTTTTAAAAAAATTTTTAATATTTATTTTTATTTTATTTGTATGAGTATATGGCCTACATGTGTGCAAGTGTACCCGCACTGTGCAATGCTTGTGGAGGTCAGAAAATGGTGTTAGATTCCCTGGAACTGGAGCTAAAGATGGTTGTTAACCACCATGTGGGTGCTGGGAATTGAACCTGGGTCCTCTGCAAGAGCAGTTAGCGCTCTTAATCGCTGAGCCATCTCACCAGCCCCAGACCTTTTTTTTTTAACCAAATAAAAACAAATAGGAAGAATTTATAAATCTGGGCATGGTAGTACATATCTGTAATCCCAGCTATTCATGAGACTGAGACAGGATGACTGCAAGTCAAACCTCGAACCTGGGTTGAACCCAGGTGTTTGAACTTTTAAGAAAGATTTATTTGGGGGTTGGAGAGATGGCTCAGTGGTCAAGAGCACTGACTGCTCTTGCAGAGGACCTGGGTTCAATTCCCAGCACCCACACGGCAGCTATGAACCGTCCTTAACTCCAGGTCCAGGGGAAACTTTTTAAAAAAATATTTAATTTTCATTATATGTGTCTCTGTGTGGGTATGTGCACGAGTGTTTTTCCCTGAAGAGGCCAGAAGAGGGTTTTGGATCCCTGGAATTGGAATTACAGAGAGTTGTGAGTTGCTCGATATGGGTGCTGGGAACTCAATTCAGGTACTCTGCAAAAGCAGTACACATTTTACCCCCAAGCCATCCCTCCAGGGCTCTTGAAGTCTTTTTTCAGGGATCTCACTATGCAACTCAAGCTGACCTGGCTCACTATGTAGCCCAGACCTCAAACATGCCATCCCCCTGTTTCAGACCTCAGAGTGCTGTCAAATAGGCATGAACTTCCATGCTTGGCTGAACTTTTTTAACATTTTATTTTGGGGGGTTGTGCATGTATGCGTGAATGTGTGTAGATACACATGTCTCATGGCACGCATGTGGAAGGCAGAGGACAACCTGTGGGAACTGGTTCTTTCCTTCTGTCATGTGGGTCACTGGATTGAACTCAGGTGCCTTTATTTGCTGAGCCATCTCCCCAGTCCAACTTTTATCTTTGGTTTTGTTTTTAGAAGAGAAGATCTTGCCATGGTATCCAGGATGGCCCAGACTCCTACACTCAATCCTCCATCCTCAGCCTCCCAGACTATAGGTACATTTTTGCCTAGCAGAAAATGTCCTTAACTTTTTTAAAAATATTTTATTTATTATTTTTATTTTACATATATGAATGTATTGCCTGCATGTATGTAAGTGCACCCGTGTTGTGCAATGCCCATAGGTCAGAAGAGAATGTCAGATTTTCCTGGAACTAGAGTTACAGATGGCTCTTAGCCACCATGTGGGTGTTGGGAATTGAACCTGGGTCCACTACAACAGCAGCCAGTGCTGGGGCTGGAGAGATGGCTCAGTGGTTAAGAGCACTGACTGCTCTTGCAGGGGACCCAAGTTCTTTTCCCAGCACCTACATGGTGGCTATGAACCGTGCTCTTTTAAGTATTTTTGTCAGATATTTTCAAGTATAAAAGACTGACCAGTGTTAGAAAGAGTAGAGTTTCTTTATATTCTTCACTGTTTCTCTTGTTATCAGCATTTTGTCTTTTTTTAAAAAAATATTTTATTTATTATTTTTATTTTATGTGTACAAGTATATTGCCTGCATGTATGTGAGTGCACCCATGGCGTGCAATGCCGCGGAAGTCAGAAGAGGGTTTCCAATTCCCCTGAAACTGGAGTTAAGGACGGTTCGTAGCTGCCATGTGAGTGCTGGGAATCGAACCCGGGTCCTCTGCAAGAGCAGTCAGTGCTCCTAACCACTGAGCCATCTCTCCAGCCCCAGCATTTTGTCTTTTAAAAATAAATTTTATTACTTTTATTTTATGTGTATAAATGCATTGCCTGTATGTATGTAAGTGTAATCATACCATGCAATGTCCATGGAGCTCAGAAGAGGGCGTCAGATCCCCTGGAACTGGAGTTACAGATGATTGTTAGCTGCCATATGGGTGGAGGGAACTAAACCCAGGTCCTCTGCAGTGCTCTTAACCTCTGAGCCATCTATCCAGGCCCAGCATTTTGTTTTATAAAACCACAGAATAAGGATTAAAATTAAGAAATCGAGGCTTGGCCTGGCATAGTGGCACATGCCTTTCATCCCAGCACTCAGGAGGCAGAGGCAGACAGATCTCTGTTGAGTGCAAGGCCAGCCTGGTCTACATAGTGAGTTCCAGGCCAGCTGGGGCTATAGGGAGACCCTGTCTCCAAAAGACCAAAAAAATAGGAAATTAAGGCTTAAGGGAATACTCAGTGTTATAGCAAATGCTTACCAGTCCTCAGCATTAAAAAAAAAAAAAAAAACCCTAAGAAAGTAGAAACAGTATAATTCGACTAAATTGTACTATTACATAAATTATATACTCGTCAGATTTTAATTTTTTTTCTATTATTACCATTTTTCTGTTCTATGATTCAATTCAAGTACCACATCACATTTAGTTGTGACAACACCTTAGCCTGCTCCAGTCTGACATTTCCTCAGCTTTGTCTTGCAAACCCATTACTCTCAAATTTTAACTCAGTAATTTAACATCTTGCCAGTAGTGGTTAAAACTCTTATATTCTGTGCTGGGCACGGTGGCACACGCCTTTAATCCCAGCACTCAGGAGGCAGAGGCAGGTGATCTCTGTGGGTGAGTTCCAGGCCAGCTAAGGCTACAGGGAGACCCTGTCTCAAAAAGACCAAAAAAAAAAAAAAAAGTTGTTTCAAAAATAACAGCAGGGGCTGGAGAGATGGCTCAGTGGTTAAGAGCACTGGCTGCTCTTGCAGAAAACCTGGGTTCAAATCACACTACTGGTTAACAACCATCCGTAACTCCTGTTCCAGGGGTCCAACACCCTCTTCTAACCTCCGCAGGCATTGCATGACATGGATGCACTTATATACATCAGGCAATAGCAGGCAATATACTCATTCACAAAAAATAAAAATAATAAATAAAATATTTTAAAAAATAGCTGGGCATGGTTGCACACACCTTTAGTTCCAGCACTCAGAAGGCAGAAGCAGGCAGATCTCTGTGAGTTCAAGTCCAGCCTGGTCTACAAATCGAGTTCCAGGCCAGCTAGCGTTACAGGGAGACCCTGTCTCAAAAAAAAAAAAAAAAAAAGCTTGTTAAATAATGTGCAAAATGGGTGAAAAAAAAAAAATCTGCATCTTGCATACTATGATATAGGAAAGGAGACCAATCACAGACGCAAACAAACAGAATGTACTCAGTGCCAGTGACTCAATCAGAAAACTGGGGTCTACCTGACATCAACTTCTTTAGAAGTTTCTGGCTTTTGTTTGAGTCACGCTGTAAAATATCCCATTCTTCATGAGTACATACCTAGACAGTAAAAGAAAGATACATAATTCAGTAGTTGAATAATATTTTTTGGTGTGCCATAAAAAGTAACCTCAAATTATATATTTGATAACAGAATGATACTTTTTTTAATCCAGAAAAAAGTACTAATATATTCAAATATGTACATATATTCAAATGAATTTTTCCATAGGACTTTCTCATTTCTTCCTGTTAAATGAGCTACACACAAAAAAAATGTATATCCCTGTGAATATTCCTAAATACCTGGTTTAAACAACAAAAAAAGAACATAAAATCTATGTTCAAAGGAGAAATAACTGCTTCTGTTGAGAATACTGAAAAATTTTTGATACTTTTCAAAAGCAGCTGGTTTTAACAATAAACTCCAAACCTGACGATAGAAATTATAAGATGTTTTTATTTATTTATTTATTTATTTATTTATTTATTTATTTATTTATTTATTTATATTTTTTT